AAAAAAATCACATATCGAAGCACCCTCAGGCTGTTATATGTTCGTCCATATTATTTAATATTTAATGTTTTAAGTTGTAACAATTACAACGGGAATCTGACTGGTTTTATCAGTCAGAAATAAAGCTTATTTCCTTGTTTATAGTTTTAAAATGTTTTATTCATGAAAAAAAAGGTGTTTAAAAAGCCTAAAAAATATATACATGTCGTCTGTTTTAACTTATAAATCTTTGCTATTGTACAGTATATTTCATTTGTCTTTATTTCTTTACAAATTAATAATTTAAGGGCTTGAATGTGTATATAAAGATGTGACAAACTACTTGTGGAATAAAGGTTTTTCTTTGAGCTGAAGGCTTGTGATGCTCTCCGTTTCCAGCAGATGGCGCCACAGGACCACCGTTTCGTTGTTCAAACCTCAACTAAAGTGGTTTTCATCTACTTTAACTCGCGTGTGTGTGGAGTTTCTGTGTTTGTGAGGCTGTGAGAGTGAGTTGTGTTTTCTGAGGAGCCGAAGAAACACAAAAGTGGTCTCACATTTTATTAAAAAGGTGTCAGGTGCACAGACCGGCCTGCTGAAAATGGCGCCTGGTTAAAAAAACACGCTTAAATTGGCTCATTTGAACAGTTTCTGCATATCTTCCGGGGCTCGTTGTGTTTTTTCCTGCGGGTCCTCGTGCATTATTCACAGTCTGACGGACTCCGGCTGTCCTCTGGAAGTCGACACCACGGCCGATCACTTTTCCTGTCCCCACGGCAACCAGAATCAGTTACCAGGTGTGACATAACACAGACCCCCCCCTCTGCGGCCAGCAGCTGCTGCCTAAAATGTAGAAAAACTGGAGGAATCCAAGTGGAGTCTCCCTCTTTTCTCCGTCCCAGATCTGGTTTGCTTCTGGTTTAGGGGGTCACCTGGTCCCAGGTGGGCGGGGCCACCTGGTCCCAGGTGGGCGGGGCCACCTGGTCACAGGTGGGCGGGGTCACCTGGTCACAGGTGGGCGGGGCCACCTGGTCACAGGTGGGCGGGGCCACCTGGTCACAGGTGGGCGGGGCCTCCTGGTCACAGGTGGGCGGGGCC